ATAGCCAACCAAAAGGGGAGTGTGATTGTGGATAATTTGATCACCTTAGAAAATGTTTTGCTAGTTCCTCAACTCAACTGCAATCTTATATCTGTCTCACAACTTCTTGAGAAAAAGAATTTAATTGTCAAGTTTAATAATAAAATTTGTCTTATACAGGACTATATCTCGAAGATGGTGATTGGAATGGGTGAGCAGGCTGAAGGACTATATTATCTCAAGAAAGGTGTGAAGGACAAAGTCTGCATTGTGAAGGAGGCGAAGGATCTGGACATTTGGCACAAGCGCTTGGGTCATCCCTCCTACACCACTGTCAACACTTTTCTCCATTTACCCAAAAATACCAATATCCCTGATTCCCCTTGTGATGTGTGTTTTCGTTCAAAACAATGTCGTGACTCTTTTCCAATTAGTCTGAATAAATCTATTACTCCTTTTTCCTTGATTCACTGTGATTTATGGGGTGGATACCATACTCCGTCTCGCACTGGGGCTAGATATTTCTTAACTATTGTTGATGATTTCTCTCGGGCAACTTGGGTGTATCTATTAAATCACAAATATGAAGCCCCTACTGTCTTGCGTAATTTCTTTTCTATGATTGAGCGACAATTCAATAAACAAGTGAAAACTGTACGAAGTGACAATGGTACAGAGTTCACTTGTTTAAAATCTTTCTTTGACAATCATGAGATTATTTTTGAATCCTCTTGCGTCGGTACCCCCACAACAAAATGGTCGAGTCGAACGAAAACACCGTCACATTCTCAACATTGCCAGAGCTCTTCGCTTCCAAGCCAACCTACCCCTTAAATTCTGGGGTGATTGTATTCTCACCGCTGCCTATCTAATTAACCGAACACCCTCTGAGCTACACAAAGGTAAAACCCCATATTCCATGATCTATGAAAAAACGCCCTCATATAGTCATATCCGGGTTTTCGGATTCCTTGCATATGCCCACAATCAATCCCACCATGGAGACAAATTTGAGTCTCGTTCTCGACGCTGCGTTTTCCTTGGCTATCCATTCGGCCAAAAAGGATGGCGCCTTCTCGATTTGGACAACAATAAAATATTTGTCAGTCGAGATGTCAAGTTCTTTGAAAACCATTTTCCTTTCCATTCACAAAATACTCCCAATCTCACAGAACCTGAACCCACTGCTGATTTGTTTTGAAGAAGAAATACCCAGTGAAGAATCTGCCACCAAAACGGTCGACAAGACCGACTGCCCAGCAACCCACGGTCGACCGTCTCCCTCTGAACCTGACACTGCCACCCAGACGGTCGAAACACTGGACCGTTCTCAGGACCCCAGTCGACCGTTACTCCAATCCAATCCAGAAAACCCTGCAATATCAGAACCAAACAGCCAACCCGATGACCCATTCCAGCCTTCTTCTACCCTTGATAACCAAACCCTTCCAACCCAAGACACTTTGCGCCGAAGTGAAAGAGAACGTCGTCCTCCTTCGTGACTGCGTGACTTTATCACTCACACCATTCAACGTCCCTCTCCTGATTCACTCAAACCAACAACGCCTTCAGGTACAGCACACTGTATTACAAATTTTATTAACGCTGACAAATTTTCTGTTTCCCATAGATGTTTTTTGGCAACTATAAGTGCAGATGTTGAGCCTACATTCTTTTCTGAGGCGGTCAAAAACCCACTATGGGTACAAGCTATGAAGGAAGAAATTCAAGCATTAGAAGCTAATGGTACTTGGTCACTCGTCCCCCTGCCTCCTGGAAGGAAAACAATCGGATCCAAGTGGGTCTATAAAATCAAGCACAAGTCTGATGGAAGCATTGAACGCTACAAAGCTCGTTTGGTGGTGCTTGGGAACCGACAGAAAGAGGGCATTGATTTTAAAGAGACTTTTGCCCCGACGGCTAAGTTGGTTACTGTTCGCACTCTTTTAGCTGTTGCCGCGGCCCGCAACTGGTTCCTACATCAGATGGACGTTCACAATGCATTTTTGCATGGAGACCTTCGCGATGAAATATACATGACTCTTCCTCCCGGGTTTAACGCTCGCGGTAAAGGATTGGTTTGCCGGCTTCACAAATCCCTCTATGGTCTTCGTCAGGCTCCACGGTGTTGGTTTGCCAAACTCACCTCTGCGTTAAAACATTTTGGGTTCCACCAATCCAAGGCTGATTACTCTCTGTTTACTCTTCTGCGCGGATCCATCGAGCTCCGTGTGCTGGTATATGTGGATGATCTCGTGATAGC